AAAACAGAAAAAGAGACACAGATGTACAGAACAGACTTTTGGACTCTGTGGGAGAAGGTGAGGGTGGGATGTTCTGAGAGAATAGCATTGAAACAAGTATACTATCAAGGGTGAAACAGACCACCAGCCTAGGTTGGATGCATGAGACAAGTACTCAGGGCTGGTGCACTGGGAAGACCCAGAGGGATGGGATGGGGAGGGAGGAGGGGGGATCAGGATGGGGAACACATGTAAATCCATGGCTGATTCATGTCAATGTGTGGCAAAAACCACTACAATATTGTAAGTAATTAGCCTCCAACTAATAAAAATAAATGAAAAAATAAAAAAAATTAAAAAAAAAAGAAAGAAATATATCAAAGTTTAGTGAACAACAAAATATCACGTCCATCACCAGTCAAGTATCTATGATTATTTGGCTTCAGTTTACCAATAAAGCTAACTAAAAAACAGAATTTGATATTGAAGTGGATCTAAAACTTTAATAATGCCCAGCCTGGAATGTGGCCCAAGTCTCTTCAATGTATAGAGTAAAACACCTTTCAACATTTCAGAGTTCCAAAAGCCTTGTGCATGCAAGTCACTTCAGTTGTGTCCAAGCATTTGCGACCCTATGGACTGTAGCCTGCCAGGCTCCTCTGTCCATGAAGTTCTCCAGGCAAGAATACTGGAATGACTTGCCATGCCCTCCTCCAGGGGATCTTCCTGACCCAGGGATAAAATCTGTGTCTCCTGCATTGGCAGGCAGGTTCTTTACCACTAGCACCATCTGGGAAGCCAATAAGCCTGTACCACATTTATTACTTGGATAAATATATATATATATACACATATATACACACATACATATATATTTTTGAGCATTAAAATGAGGAACTATTCATCCATTCTGCAACCACCATTCTCAGTGGCTCAGTCTGGACATTATCATTGTTAAGAACTGAGAGTACATCAGAAACCTTGACATCAAACATCTCATTCTTCAATAACCAGATTCAAAGCTCCCAGTACACTTCTCTATCTCCTATAAGTGTTATCTAGAATGTGCACTTTTTAAAAACACCAATGTCGTTTAGTCACTAAGTAGTGTCCAGTTCTTGTGACCCCATGTGGACTGTAGCCTGCCAGGCTCCTCTGTCTACGGGAATCTCCAGGCAAGAATACTGGAGAGGGTTGCCATTTTCTTCTCCAGGGGATCTTCTGACCCAGGAATCAACCTGGGTCTCCTGCATTTTAGGCAGATTCTTTACCCACTGAGCAATGAAGGAAGATAAAAACACCAATAGAAGCCAGGAAACAGTAGTATATTTCCAGTACGTTGAGAGACAATATTTTAAATCTAGTATTGTATGTCCAAAAGGATTATGTTTTTGCCATAAACATGACCTTTAAGTCTTGTGAATCAGCTTATACCACAGACCATATATAAGGCTAATTACACTTTCTCATTTTTGTGAATTATAATTGACATAATATTATACTAGCTGCAGGTATACAACGTAATGACTCAGTGTTTGTATAAATTGTTAAATGATTACCACAATGAGTCTTGTTAACATCTGTCACCATACATGATCACAAATTTTTTCTTGTGATGAGAACTTTAAAAACGTCTCTCAGGAACTTTCAAACATGCAATATAGTATCATTAACTATAATCATCAGGCTGCATATTATGTCCTCAAAACTATTTTATAACTAAAAATCTGCATCTTTTGATCCCTTCACCCCCATCCTCTGTCCCTCATCTCTGGAAACCACAAATCTGTCTTTGTATCTATGAGTACTTTTTTTTTTTAAATTTGTTATGCTTTTGTTTGTTTTCAGAATCTACATATAGGTGAAATTATACAGTAGCTGTCTTTCTCTGTCTGATATTTCACTTAGCATAATGCCCTCAAGGTCTATCCATGTTGTCACAAATGGCAAGATTTCATTCTTTTTTATGGCTGAATAATATTCTACTCAGAGAGAGAGAGAGAGAGTGTGTGTGTGTGTGTGTGTGAGATCTGTATATCACATTTTTTAGGCTGAATAATATTCTATTCAGAGTGTGTGTGTGTGTGTGTGTGGTGTGTGTATATGGTGTGTGTGTGGATGTGTGCATGTGCGTGTGAGATCTGTATATCACATTTTTTAGGCTGAATAATATTCCATTCAGTGTGTGTGTGAGTGTGTGTGTGTGAGATCTGTATATCACATTTTTTAATCAATTCATCTGTGGATGCTGAGATTGTTTCCAAGCCTTATCCACTAAAAATAATGTTGCAATGAACACTGGGATGCATGTATCTTTTTGAATTAATATTTTCATTTACTTTGGATAAATACCCAGAAGAGGGAATGCTGGATCATATGGTAGTTCTTTTTTTAGTTTTTAAAGAAATCTCCATGTTGTTTTCCATAGTGGCAATACCAGTTAACATTGCCATCAACAGTGCACAAAAGTGTCCTATTCTCCACATCCTTGCCAACAACACTTGTTATATCTTTTATTTTTGATATCCTTTCTAACAGAGGTGAGATGGTATCTCACTGTGGTTTTGATTTGTATTTCCCTCATGATTGGTGATGTTAAGTAACTTCTCATGCACTTGCTGGCCACCTTTATGTCTTCTTTGGAAAAACATCTATTCAGACCCTCTGCCCATTTTCAATCAGATTTTGTTGTTGTTATTGAGTTGTAGGAGTTCTTTATATATTTTGGATATTAGCCCTTATCAGATATAGTTCCTTTTATATGAAATACAGAAAGCTACAACCCATGAAAGAAACTATGGTATTTAATTCATCTTTAAAGTGACAATATTTCAAAGATGTAAGAATTTTACTAAAACCTCTACTGTCATAGACTTGGAAAAGAAAAAAAATATATATGTAGGCAATTCAATATATTCTAAGTCAGGTTAAATCACTTATAGGATATTAGGAATTCTAATATAACTAACATGGTCAGGAATATAAATGAATCATTTTAGAGTAAGATAAAAACTCAGCCTCTGTCCAAATTTTCCATTTGTAATCTAAGTAAATATTCAATTACTTAAGTTATCTATATTTAGTACATGTACTGCTTACTAACCTCTGTTTTGGGGTTTTTTTTTTCAAGATTACACAGAATCTTTGTCTATTCCAAACCATGGTTAAAAATCCTTGGATTTTTCTTGCCTTTAATAAAATAATAATTATTTTTAGAAGATTTATACTTTTAATTAGGTTGCAAAATATAATATTCTTTATTTTATTTATCTCAAAACCAGCCCTTCAACTTTTGATTCTGCTGTTTTCATTTTAATGCTCTTCAATGTATTCTAAATATAAACCTTTGTTGAAATAACATAAGTAGAAATCAGGGACAGTATGATTAATGTGCTCCAGAATTCTCCTGTGACCACCTCAGACACAAGGTCCAAGACCCTGTGAAAATGCTGCTAGTTTTTAAGGAAAACGCTTGAGGCAAATAATAGACAAAAAATCAGGCCACTTGATCTACCTCCCAGAATTCCCAATAATGTCTCCTATCTAACTTTCATGCTATATATTCTAAGCTTTTGAAACTCATAAATCTCTAAACACTAATACTAAATTTTATATAGTTACAAGGGTCTCAATGCAGACATAGTGGAATCCACTTTACACCCCAGTTTGATCCAGCAGCATTGCTTATTGAAAACCTACTAAAAGCAAGAACATTTACTCTGTATCCTAAAATGTCATTTAACAGAGTAAGACTTAGAAAGTAAAAATCAGTATATGATCTGCAGGAACTATAAAACTCTTAGAGGAAAACATAGGCAGAACACTGTGACATAAATCAAGATCCTCTATGACCCACCACCTAGAGTAATGGAAATAAAAATTAGAATAAACAAGTGGGACACAATTAAACTTAAAAACT